AATCTTAAACTCTTCATATTTTTGAAAGCTTGAGCTTCAAAGCAAACTCTGCTGGTTGAATGCAGTTTCAGGGACAATCCCTGCGTAGCTTTTGTTCCCTGTGATGAATATATCAAAGAGATACAATTAAGAAATTTCTCAATATCAGTTAATCATTGATACTTAATGCTGAGTCTAAAATGTTAACAACACATGCATCCCACTGAAAAAGAAAACACTTTCAAAATCATATAAAGAATGTTCTTACACTCTTTGTTTTCAGGATATCTTTTACATCTTCATGAAACCATAATCGACTCCTTTTTCCCGGTTCCTGTGGCCAATCCCGACGAGTAATTTCTCTTCCCATGTCTCGTAACAAAGGATGCATTTCAAGTTTGTTGTTCCTTTCAACTTTTATGAAGTCACGTTCTATGAGAACTGTTATTCCAATATCAGCATGTAGTCCACAGCCATTTAGTATCTCTGTGACATAGCCTCTCTCTTTACCAATAAAGAAACAACATACATCAAGAAATATATCTTTTTCCATGTCACCTAAACCGTCAAAACTTATTTTCAATTTCTCTCTAACTCGAGCAAAGGCATTTGGCAGTCGTAACGATACATATTTCCATTCTTGAACTTGAACATAGGGAATTTGCATTGTCCATCCACCGAGGACCTTAAGGGCTAGTGGTAGTCCTCCACAATTAGCAACCATGTTCCTTGCAATTTCATTCAATTCTTTTCTTGGTTTTGCTTCTCCAAAGGCATGCCAACTTAAAAGCTCAAGGGAATCATTTTTGTTCATAGCATCCATTTTATAAACATAATTAACTTTCAGTCTGTTTAGCATTTTAGCATCTCTAGTTGTAATGATTATCACAGTTCCCCTACCAAACCATTCGCGATTCCCGCATAGGTTTTCTAGTTGGCCAAACTCACTCACATCATCAAGCACAATGAGTAACTTTTTTCGGGAGAATTTAGTCTTGATCATGGTTCTTCCCATCTCGTCGTTTTCCAACTCAAACTTGTATTTAAGGACATCATCAAGAAGATGTTCTTGCAAATCAACATATGTTCTATATAATAGACACCAAAACTCTCTAATAGTTTCAATAAAACTCTTACCAATGAATAGACGATATATACGATTGTAGATGGCTTTGGCTATGGTAGTTTTACCCGTTCCTACCATTCCCCATATCCCTATTATACAGACTTTGGTGTCATGATTTTGAATACATCCAATAACCTTTTCCACGCGGGACTCTAATCCAACAGGAAATTCGGTAATAAACAAGTCTTTATAGTCCAGTAATGTATGAACGTGCCTAACAATTACCTCCACAAGTTCAGCATCATCCCTTCAAGAGGAATGATAATGTGTTACTAAAATTAAATCTCAACCTTAACATATGCTTCATTCAGTCTCAGACGAAAGAAAGTAGGAAGGATTCATTTGTTTACCTGAAATCTCTGACATCCCAACTAGTCATACTTGCAGCTGTGGTGAGTGCACGTCTCCACCTGGACAACGCATGTTCCAGTTGTTCTCCTAAATAGCTTTTTTTTGCAGTTTCTTCCAACGCTTTACCAAAATCATCTTTCTGATCACGTACATCCAATGGTTCAATCTCGTAAAATACGGACAGAACTACTTGGCCAAAAGTTTCGAGGCATTCAATAATCTTTTCAAGCTCAAGAAGACAGCATGTGGATTCAGTGTATGTTTTGGAAAAAACGATTATTGCAATCTTAGAGACTGCTATTGCTCCCATGTGTTCTTCCAGCTTCATTCCCTCCTGCAGATTCTCCTCGTTAACCAAAGTTTTGACTTGAGCTTGTAAAAGGACAGAGTGGAGATGAGAAACCAACTTCCTACCGATGTCTTCTCCCCCAAAGTTAATGAATACATCGTATATGAAATGGGGTTCTGATTTTAGGAAGGATGAAGATGATGAAGAAGAAGCGAACTCCATCCAAGGAATTGAGGTCAACTCTTCAAAGGTAAAGCACTAATGTTAAAGATGTCATCTCATACTAGAGTCTGATCAGAAATTTGTGGATATAATATTATATATTTTGCATCAAAATTTAAAATTTGTTGAAGAATCACCGGTTGCAATAAAATAGAAAATGATAATAAAAAAAGTTGAAAATATGATATAGAGCCTTCAGATTTTCTTTCCTTAGGAAGGAAAAATAGTTGGTGAAAAATAATAGACTCCATTTATTTGTAGTCCTCGAAGTGCGTTACGAACCACCAATAATGAATGACTGTGCATTAAATTCCATACATGTTTTATACTTTCTTCCTGGACCCACCTCAGTGAGGATACTTCATTTGCCACCTTCTCGTTGAATTTAAGACACTTTAAGGGTTGCAGTTATTCACTTCGGATTTCAAAAAAATTTAAAATAACTTTGTTCTAAAAGATTTCAATGCATGCGAAAAATAAATTTGGTCCATTAACAACTTCACTCACCAAAGTTAAACTCATGATAAAAAAAAAATAAAATAAAACTTACTTCACTCCTAACTTAACAGTCGAGCACAAAACATACAAACTTTTAAAAAAAGAAAAATTGCAAGAGGGAGAGTCACCCTCGTTACACTTTATTCCCTCTCTACCTTTATACTTGCATTCCATTGAAGTTTAAGTTTTAAGATGAATATTTTCCATTGACTTTTGAGATTATTTATATTTTATTTAATATTATTATTTAATTTTTGGGATGAATGATTTATTTATTATCTAAAA